GGGGGGGGGCATGCCGCACTGAGGCTGACCTCCTGCCTCTGGTGACAGCAGGGACACCTCAGGGCAGCTTACTGGTTCAGGAGGCACCTGGAGGCCGTCAGGGCTCACTGATGAGTTACTGATGCAAAGTGGTTAAACCTGCAGGCTCCTGAATCAGACTACTTAGGATTACAGCCTGGTTCCTGCCACTTACTAGCTGTGTGACCTTGGGCAAGTTACTTAACCTGTCTGAGCCTCAGTTTCCTCTTTTGTTAAAAAGGAGTTAAACATACCCCTTTCTTAATCCTTTCATGAGCTGTGGGACATCTAGTGCTTCCGGGGTTTAGTGGAAAGAATCTATCCCACTTTTAGTGCCCACTGCCATCTGGTGGGGGCCTGTATAACTGTGTGAACCTGAGGAAGTGAGCCTCAGCCCACCAACTCCAGCATCAAAGACCCTCAAGACAAATGTACTCCACTAATGATATCAAAATCCATACTACCTTAAAAAAAAAAAAAAAAGTTTTTTCATTTCATTCTAAATGCCTTCCATTACTGAAAACACATGGTTTCAACAACAATAACAAAAAAAATTCAAAGCAAAAAATAATTTGGTCTTGAAAGTGTTAAAGTTTTTGTGAGGATGAAATGAGAGAATGCCTAGAAAAGGTTTCAGACCATTTGGCAATGACTATCAGCCACCAGTGATGGTGTTATTTACCACTGCCATCAAGCCAACTCCAACTCATAGTGGCCCTATATGTAGGTCTTATTGGTAAAATGGGAGCTCTCGTAGCATAGCGCTTAAGGCATTTGACTGCTAACCAGAAGGTTGGTGATTCAAACCCACCAGCCACTCCTCGGAAGGAAGACTGGGCAATCTACTTCCATAGTGATACCATCTCAGAAACCCAAGGAGGGGTCGCTATGAATTGAATCAACTCAATGGCAGTGAGTTTGGGTTTTATTATTATTACTATTATTGGTAAAATAGGATTTTGGGAAAACTCTGCCCTGTGTTCCTTTCTCTCCTAGGCGTTCTTCAGAGCCAGAGGGCCTTGAATGTCCAGTCATTCTGGAAAAAGCCTTCCTTCTCTTCTTACCTTGCCCGGTGCAGGGCATTCCCGCACCTCTGATACACAGGCCTCCAGGCCTTGGCCCCTGCCATGGGGCCCTGCAAAGGAAGTCAAAGTGGGAGGAGATGTGAACACCACATGCCTCCTCCCTGGGATAAACATGTAGAAATTTGGTTGGGGAGCTGCAGAGTCTGGTCAGGGCAACCTGGAATATTAACGGATTAGATAAGACCTCATCAGAAGCAGAGTACAGACAACTCTCCCTGCCTCCCGTTCCCTCCAACCCAAGCCCTGTTGCGTGGACCTGGGTGATCATAGACCTGGCAAGTCACAGGATAGGAAAGGGAGTGGAAGTCTTAAAAAATTGTCATTCTGAAACTTATCAAATCTTTGTCAACTTCCTGTTGGTTGGGCCTGGGCCCAAACAAGGGTTACCTCCTGTGATGTGAGGGAGGGTAGGAGGGAGATAAAATCTACCAAGGTTCTGCCAGCCAAACAGTGACTGCCTTAGTGTGGGTTCCTCTGGGGTAGGGCAGTGGGTGTGGGAGGAGTGTCCCAGGCGCTAAGCCACTGACCGTGTTAGTGGCTGTTCTCTGCATGGCTGCAGGGCCGAGCACTGAGCAGGAGCTAACCTCCTAGAGCATCCTCCAAGCAACTACCTCCCACTCTCCTCTTTTCACTGATGCCCTCTCCTGCCACCTCCAGCTTCCTAAGCCTGAGCTGCAGAGCAGGGCTGGAGATGGTGGGACAAGGCAGACCTACCTCCTCAGCTACCCCATGTTTTCTAATCAGTGCTGGTACAGGCCTCAAAGCCAGACCGGCCTGGGTTCGATTCCTGGCTCCACGGACCCTTACCAGCAAGCCACCTATTCTCTTATTTGGAAAATGGGGAGGATTAAATGAGAGGGCACCTGCAAAATGCTATCACAGTGCTCAACATGGAGGAAGAGAAATTCTAGCTATTGGCCAAAATGCTGCTTGTTGAACAAATTATGGGGTCACTCTTTGCTAATAGCACTGTAACCAGGACAAAATTGGTAGACACAAAGTGAAACTGCTTTGTAAAGCTAAAAATATATAGATGGGAGGCTACCAATGGAGGTCTTTGTCAGGCCATTAATGGAGCACTCACTTACCATGTGCTTGGCATTTGCTAAGCATTTACATGCAGGATCTCATCTAGTCGGCATGTCATCCCTACAAGGTTGGCAGTATTACACCCCTTCTGCAAATACACACACGAAGGCTTAAATAAAGAGCGTTGGTGATGCAGTGGTTTTGTGCTCAGTTGCTAACTGGAAGGTCAGTAATTCAAACCTACCAATCACTTTACAGGAGAAAAGACCTGACTGTCCATTCCTGTAAAGATCACAGCCCAGGCAACCCCATGGGGGCAGTTTTACTCTGTCATAGGATCGTTATGAGTCGGAATTGACTTGATGGCACACAGCAACAAAATAACAGGGTTTAAAAAATGTCTAAATCCCACAGCTTATAGGATTTGAACCCAGGTCTATCTGACCCCAGGGCCTGTGCTCTCAACAATTAACTCGACCATAGATAGATAGATAGGTAGATAATGATAACTGCAACATGAACAGTAATAGTGGGAAATGTGACCCAACTCCTGAACCACTGTCAGGAAGGCAACAAAGCCAGTTCAAATAAATCAGTAAGTCTCTGAGTCAGGGAGCACCAGATTGAGGCAACGCTTGATTCAGGCTGAGCCCTGCCCCACATTTGGTAATGACCATGTGACCAATAAGATAGACTCCCCTCTCCCTTCTTTGACCATCTTTGGTACTGCCCACAAATGACTTACTTCTCTTGCTGCCTGTCCCTTCTTGGCCCCAGCTGGCTGTGAACACAAGATCAGCAGTGCTGAAGGAACTCTGGCAAGTCCCAACTGGCCTGACAAATACCCCAGCCGGAGGGAGTGTACCTGGAACATCTCTTCAACTGCAGGCCACAGGGTGAAACTCGTGAGTCATTACTGCAGTTTATTAAGAACATGGACTTTGGTATCAGACAGTCATGGGTTCGAGTCTCCACTCTGCCACTTCCCAGCTCTGAAGCTTGGGAAAGGTACTCAACATTTTAGCTTTCAGTTTTATTATTGAAAAATGGGGATGTAATAAAGCCTACCTCGTGGGCTGTTGTGCGGCTTAGAAGATGCATATAAAGCCGTCAGCACAGGGTTGCATCGGAGGAAACGCAAGGAGTAGTGCCCGTTCCCAGTGGTACCAGAGCGGGGGCAGGGCACCCATCACACAGATCAGCAGTGCTGTTGGAGCGCCAATAGTTGTCTTAGAAACATTTTTATCAAAGCAATACATTCTCATGGTTAAAAAAAAAGAGTCAGTATAGAAGTTTGCAAAGTGGAAATCTGAAGTCCCTAGACCCCTAACTCCTGCTCTAGAGATGACCCCTCTGAATATTTCTTGTGAATCCTTCTGGAAATTTTCGGTGTGTATCCAATCATGTATGTACATTCATGAGAAAAAAGAATATCTCTTTTCTTACTCAAACTACTCAAACGAAATCTTATTATTCATAATCTTCTACTACTTACATTTAAAAGAAAATTGACTGTAGGAGATTAAGGAGCTCTCGTGGCATCTGACTGCTTACCAGAAGGTTGGCAGTTCAAACTCTCCAGTCATTCCTTAGAAGGAAGGTTGGGCAATCTACTTCCATAGTGATATCACCTCGGAAACCCAAGGAGAGGTCGCTATGAGTTGAATTGACTTGATGGCAGTGAGGTTTGTTTTTTTTTGGTTTATAGGAGATTAAGTTCTTTATGTTAGTTCTCTCTGGAATTAAAAAAGAAATCTTCCAAGCCTTTATGTAAAGTCCTGTGAATGCACAATTCCTGATCTCCTCACCGTTCTTAATTATTTCAAAGAAGAAATGTATCTCTAGCAAAGCCTTATTTCTCAACTCCTGGGGACTCCCAGATCCTGGAGTATAACACAGACCAGCTTGCCAGCTGGAGAAATTGTACTCCAGACAGACAAACATTTGTTTCTTTTTTCTTTTTTTTCAAATGAGTCTTTCAGACTCTGGAGATGAGTAACTCTTACAAAAGCATATGTATGTATGTACCTATGAATTACGGACCAACAATGTGGTAAGAATGGAAGAGAACAAGGCAGGAATCAATGATAAGGAGAGAATCACCCAGAGATTGTAGGGGTGTTTATTCTGGGACAGCGGTGAGGAGAGGTGGGAGATGGGCGGGAGACTCTGAGATCAGGTTCCAGGGCTAGAGCCTACATGTGGGTGCCGGCTCTGTGTCGGGTCTGAGACACAGAGGGTGAAGAAGACAGAATCCCTGACCACAAAGTACTCACAGGCTCCCACAGCGAAAAGCCGGCTGATGCAGGAGTCAACCTGTGACCCAGCGGCATCGGACACCACGTAGCCGTGAGCTGCCCTTGTCAAAAAAGCTTTTGGCAGGCACTCTTCTGGACCAGTCAGAATAGCCTTTAATCTGGCACATTAAAAGGATTGCATTACAAAAAGGCACTTCCTCCCCAAGACTGCCATCTGCTGGAAAGTGTTACTATGACACTAGAAGTTTATGATGCTAATGAGGGAATGGGAGCTCTCGTAACGTAGTGCCTAAGGCACTTGACTGCTAACCAGAAGGCTGGCAGTTCAAACCCACCAGCCACTCCTTGGAAGGAAGATGGGGCAATCTACTTCCATAGTGATAACTGCCTCGGAAACCCAAGGAGGGGTCGCTATGAGTCGGGGCCGACTCAAAGGCACACAACAGCAACAGGGTTGGGAACACAGAACTTGAACAACTGGAAGCCATGCTTCCGTTAAAGGGCCACACGTTTGTAGTAGTTGCCACAGAGGTCTTTTTTAGTTCTTTGGACAGTTTTCATAGTACTGAAGAATGAAAGGGAGCTGGGGGCGTAGTACCTAAGGCATTTGACTGCTAACCAGACTGGTGGTTTAAACCCACCAGCCACTCCTCAGAAGGAAGGTTGGGCAATCTACTTCGTGGCGATACTGCCTTGGAAACCCAAGGAGGGATGCTATGAGTCACAATCTACTGACAGCAGTGAGTTTGCTTTGTTTTTTTATCACAACAATCTACACAAAAGTGCTAATTTTATGCCCTAGGTACCACCTCCCCAGAGCTCCTTATCTTAGGAAGTAGTTGATGGCTATATTGATTGTGACTTGAGTACTTCTCAAGAAAGCTGTGAGTTAGTTGAATACTTCTCAGGAAACTGACGTCTTACTGCATGATGACAGCAGTAAGGTGTCACAGGCCCCTTTGGGAAAACGCCTTACCTCCCTGGCCCACTATCTCTCTCCCATTGCATTACCCACAGACCCTGCAGCCACTCCTATCCTGCTTCTTGCTCACACCCAGGGGGTCCACCCACCACCTGCTGGCCCAAAGCTCCCTTTCTAGTAGGTGTGCTGAGCTCTGCGGTGTGAAGAGTGTTTGCCATCCCTGTGAGGATCCACACTGCTAATGGCCCCTGCGTCCCACCCCTTCCACTTCCATCCATGCACTGGTCTAGTCTCCTCTTTTGAGTCAAGAACCCTTCTACTGATGTCCTGTCTCCTTGCTTTGTCATTTGGTCCAAGTCTTCATTCATCACCGTCCTCTCTCAGCTTGCCTGGTCTCCCTCGCAGTCCTGGGCTGCCCATCAGTTGGTCATCTGCCCAGCACCTGTGTTTGAGACCACCACCCAGCCCTGTGTTTGGGGAGCTGTGACCCCTGAATAGCCAGCTAGTGTGTAGCCTGGAATTGTGGGGCTCCTCTGGACAGTGTCAGGACAGTCCAATCATCTCTGCAAGTCTTTAGGGAGCATGGGGAGGAAGGAGGCCATACAGCCTGGTGGTGGTTTGGGTGTGGCCCAGACTCAGGCTGGCTGAGGGTCAAGTCTAGCTCTGGCTTTCTCTGGCTAGGTGGGCTTGGATAAACCATGTGACTTCTTCTCTAAGACTCAGTTTCTCCTTCTGCAAATTGGAGATAATAACTGCCAGAATTAAGTGAGATAATGCCCATAAAGTGCTTGGCACAGAGTTCGTCATGAAAGAAACCCTCAACAGATGTTAGCTGCTGTGAACACATCACCATGTGGCATCTAGCTTCATCTACATCATTGTGCCAAAGGATTGTACACTCTAGTGCAGAGGTTAAGAGCGGGGCCTCTAGAGTCAGTCCATCCGGGCCTGGCCCAGCTCTACCAGTGTTGGGCAAGTCATCTTCCATGCCTGTGCCTCAGTTTTTGCATTTGTAAAGTGGGGATTATCATGATGCACACCCCACAGGGTCTTGAGGATTAAATGAGGGAATACATGTAGAGCACTTAAAATAGCTTCTGTGAGCACCCAGTCATGGCTGGCTCTTATTTTGTAAGAGAGGGAGATGTTGCATGCTATGATGGTAGGAACATGTGTTTGAGCAGTTGAAAGTCTAGCTCTGCTGTTTAATAGCTGTCACAATGTCAACAGGCATTTAAACTCTCTGACCCTCCCACTTTCTCATCTGGAAAGTGGTCAGAGTAGCAATGCCTCATGTAACTACTCCCAGAGTTGTTTTGGGGCACAAAAGAGAGAATGTGAGGTGCTCACGGCTTCTGAGTAGAGACCCTCCTTACTGACGTCACCGAGTGTCATGGGGGGTTGCACGGCCTCTGCTCAGCAGCCTGGATCGCTTTAGCCTTACTTTGTGCTCTTCCCTCCTCAGACGTTTAACGAGTTTGAGATTGAGCAACACCAAGAATGTGCCTACGATCACCTGGAAATGTACGATGGCCCTGACAGCCTGGCCCCCATCCTCGGCCGTTTCTGTGGCAGCAAGAAACCAGCCCCCGTGGTGGCTTCAAGTAGCAGCCTGTTCCTCAGGTTTTATTCAGATGCCTCAGTGCAGAGGAAAGGCTTTCAGGCGGTGCACAGCACAGGTACAACTGCCGGGATGGCCAACAGGGGGATAGAAGGTGATCAAGGTGGAGCAAGGATTGGCTCTTATTCTGACTGTTGAGGGAGAGGGAAAAGGAAGATGTGTGATAAAATGTTCTCTTTAAAATGAAGCATTGGCCATTCTCTATCCACTGTAAAGGAGCCCTAGTGGCACAATGGTTAAGTGCTTGGCTGCTAACCAAAAGGTGGGTGGTTCAAACCCACTAGCCTACTCGCCATCTGTGGGAGAAAGATGAGGCAGTCTGCGTCCATAAAGATTACAGTCTCTGAAACCCCTTAAGGCAGGTCTTCTCTGTTCTATAAGGTTGCTATGAGTCAGAATGAACTGGACAGCAATGAGATTTCCTACTGTGGGGGAAGGATTGTTTTCCTTCAGTGTCTTTAATTTACAAAATTTAAAGTGGGAAACGTTTTGTTGGTGCCCCATTTTTTTCCCTCCCTCCTTCTTTTTCTTCCTTTTAAAAAGTTCTTTGGAATAGTTGCTGCTCTGTGAAGCCCAGAAGCCTGGGAGTTGAGTGGTGAAGAGCAGCCTTTTTTTTCCTTCCTCCTGAAAAGTATCTCTGTTCCCCATGATTTTCCCTCCTTTCAAAATGTAAGCGATGTTATTGAGACCTTTGGAAGGAATTCTAAATGCTTATAATTTATGTTATCTACTTTGTGAAAGAGAAGAATGTCAATAAGAAAACTGATTCTGCTCTTTCAGCCATTAAAATATTACCACCTGGGACTAGGACCCAGGGAATAACCCTGACACTTTTTAGACTGTGGTCCTTTGGTAAAGCTGGATGGTTCCATGTGGCCCACTCAACTCTTGTGATGCTGTGAGTCTATGTTCCTAATCATGGGACCCTGTGAGGGTTTCTAATCCCTTTAACATCCCCTTTCCCCATTTTGTTTTCAGAGCAGAAAATAGGAATCAGGTAAAACAAAATGGCAGCCACCTTTCTCAGGCAGTTTAGCTTGCCTGTGCTTAGCAGAAAACACTTCATTGTTCTAGAACCTTCTCAAGTTTCCTGAGGGGTTCTAACTTCCCCTGGGGAAGTTTGACTAGTGATTTTACGTCTTGTCCCTACAGACAGAGATCAGGAGCAGAGGTCCTTGAGATGGGGCAGGGTCTTGGCAGGAAATGGAGAGCACACTCAGAGGGAGTAATTATTTGAGGATAATTAATAAAGGGACTGTTTACAAAAAAGGTGAGCTGGGTATAGGGAAACCACAAAGGATAGTGTAACAACCTGGACTAGTAACTGAAAGGCTGTGACTACCCCCGCCTGGAGGGTAAGAGGAGAGAGTGGGTCTCTGAAACTGGAGACGGAGAGCCATGCACAGACTTTCGTTCAGTTGAAAAACTACACTCTGTGCTATTTAGAGACTAACTACCCCAACCGCTCTCTCCTCCCTCCTTCTGGTGTTCTACTGGTGTCCCCATTGGCTAGGCCCAACCAGAAGACAGAGGGCAAGGGCCATCAGCATAGCCTACCAATGAGCCTCACAGGGACAGGGGGAGTAGAGAAGGATGGAGGTGGATCTGAAGTTTGGGTGGGAGTATCCTGCCTCGCTCTGTGCTTGTTTCATTGCCAAACCACACCTTGGGAATTCAAAATTTCCCAAAGACAGCTCAGACCTGGAAGAAATTCTAAGCCTGTGCTTCTGAGAGCTGGCAGTCCCTGGGGCCAGGCTGGGCATGGCACTGGGCTGGGCCTGAGGGTGTTAAGAACCACACAGCCAAGAATCCACCTGAGGGGGCACGTTGAGGGAAGGCTGTGGAGGAATTAGCTTCCAGAATTTGTTGCTTTCTAATCTATCACCATTTCATCTACCCATTTATATCATGTGGTCTCAAGGGGCCTAGATACAAGGCAGCATAGGGCCCAAGGCAACCAAGGCCAGCCCAGAACCAATGAGACAGAACACAAGCCCAAAGCTGAGGCATAGAGCACCTGTGACCCTCCAGGGTCTCAAAGCTGGCCTACGGTCAATACTCCCAAATGCAAGAATAAGCCAGGAAGCTTCTGAGGTTTCTTGGTTTAAGTTTAGCTTTCAGTTCTGTGGTGTTTCAGCACCCTGCATCAGCAGAAATGACAAAGTACAAAATGTTAGTTGGGCTGGCGTAAGCCCTTCTCAGATGCTTTTAGCTAGGGAGTAAAATAGTAAGGACCCAGACACATCCCAGGGACCTATCAGATAAACCATCCATTGGCCTCAAGTCTCCATAACCGGAGAGAGAAAAAGGCAGCTATTTTGTCCCAGTAGCATGCTCAAGTAGCCCCAGAGACCTTATTTGGCCCAACATGGGAACATGGGACTGTGGCTTATAAGGCCCAATTTGCATTCCCCAGTGAGCTCTGACCTCAGAGCCATGGGTCTGCATTTACTCCTCTGTACAATGGGATGATGACTCTTGCTTGAACTCTTCTGCAGGGCAAGCCCAAAGTTTTGTAGGAAAAGCCCACCCACATGGTGGCTGTAAGTAGAGAAGGCTCAGGCAGGGAAGTGGGTGGGGTGGTGCCTGGGCCCTCTGTGCCCAGGGAGCTTCACTGTACTCTCTCTGCTCCAGAGTGCGGGGGCAGGCTGAAGGCCGAGGTGCAGACCAAAGAGCTCTACTCCCATGCCCAGTTTGGGGACAACAACTACCCGAGCCAGGCCCGCTGCGACTGGGTAATTGTGGCGGAGGACGGCTATGGCGTGGAGTTGATCTTCCGGACCTTTGAAGTCGAGGAGGAGGCTGACTGTGGCTACGACTACATGGAGGCCTACGATGGATATGACAGCACTGCGCCCAGGCTCGGCCGCTTCTGTGGCTCGTGGGTGAGTCCCAGGGGGGCCGGGACTAGGGCATCATGACTAAGTGCATGTGCTGTGAAGTCAGACACACTCTTACTACTTGTTAGCAATAGCCAGGAGGCCTACTCTGCTGGAACAGTGTGGAGAGAGTGTGAACAGTCAGAGAAGAGGTCAGGAGACAGCCAGGGACCAGTTTATGAAGGCCTTGTACTAAAGGTAGCCACATGAAACACTTGGCCTTTTAGGACTTTCCTCCCTATTTTTGCAAAGAATATTTTTCTTCCATATTTCTATTTGGTCCTCAGACCTTTAAAAAAACTTTTTTTAATGTTTTTGCATAGTCCGTATATTCATAATTCTCTGTTTAAGCAAAAATAAATGTTTATGAAAATTACCAACCACTGTCTTATTATAAAACACGGTAGTTATGCTCAAATTTGTTGTCTTGTCTTCCTCCTCTCCTCTTTTCTGGGCCACCTAGCTCAGATGGATCAGGCCTATTTTGTTCACTTTTCTCCAGCACATAACATAGGGCTTGGCATGTAGTTGGCCCTCAGTGAAGTATGCGACCAGCCAGTACAGTGTCCTGGTCAATGCCTGACCCTTCCACCATCCATCCTGGGCCTCTAGCCCTCTCCTCTTCTCTGCCTCCAGGGCTAATCATGCCCTGGAGGCATGATTCTTTAATTCTTTAATATTGGCTAACTTTACATCAAATTATTTTGAAGTCTCTGGCTATCTTGCATTAAACAGAAACTTGAATTAGCATTTATATATGTCTTTGAATAATTTCCTTTCATCTCCCCTACGTTCCGAAAAAGAAAGGATAAAGAAGTGTGACTCCACTGCAGTGTCCTTGATAGATAGTCTTTCAAACCATGGGGTCTATGTGGAAAGAGAACACCTGGAGGGCTCCAAGCAGTGAAATGTGTGGTAAGCTCAGTCTGAGTCAACAATAACCTGTTGACAGCAGCTTTGGAACATGGCTCTGATGCATAGACCACCTGGCCAAACCTTTCTGACCAATGTAGTAGCTCCATCACACTTTTTGTTCTTGCATAGGGCTTAGGGCTCAGCATTGGTCTTTGGTATAGGTTTCCTAGGAGACCCATCACCATGTTGGTCATAGGTCTAGATGGTTCATGGTATGCATTCAATTGTCAGGAAGACCTGAAGTTGGGCCTCCCTACCTGTGTGAACCTGAACCTTAGTTCCCTTAGGCATAAACTGGAGGTTGTGCCTACCTTAGAAAGTTGTTGTAAAATTTATATGAGATAAGATGTCACAGTGCTGAACATGGTGCCTGGCTTATCTATGAGCTTAATAAAGATTCTATATGAGCTATGGGTTTAGGGTTGTCTTGGGAAAACCATAGTATGGGGAGTTCTTGGGAGCAGAATTTGCCGTGGTTTCCTTTGAAAAGTAGCTTGTTTTGATGTCCTTCAGAGCCTCTGGTGCCTGGAATGCCTCATGGCAGCACCAGCTACTTATGTCCTTGTATAGATTACTGTCTCATTCTCCTCATTTGATAGTCTAACTGCAGCCAACTGACTAAGAGTTCCCCGGTCTTCCTTTCCCCTTTCCTCAGCCATTGGAAGAAATCTACTCTGCAGGGGATTCCCTGATGATTCGATTCCACACGGATGATACCATCAACAAGAAAGGCTTTCACGCCCGATACACCAGCACCAAATTCCAGGACGCCCTGCACATGAAGAAATAATGGCGATGTTCTTGAAGGACATGGACTGAGACTGTTTTTACAATAGCACCTTGTGAATCTTCCCTAAAACCTTGTACAGTATTTTTCTCAAACAAAAACTCAGCCAGTCTTAAAAATATGTATTTGGATGAAAATACATTATGATGTTTGGCCACCAAGGAGGACAGAAATTGTTCCTTTTTTACAGCTGCAGTGGTATTGGTCATGGACTTTTAAGAAAGATGGAGTTTGAAGTCACTGACCATTCAAGCTATGCCTGTTCATACCTAGTCTTCTTGTTCCTTACTCCTATGACAGAGAAGCCAACTCTTGAGATGGTCATTCCTCTGTTTCTGGAAGCAATTCTATAGGTCCCAGGGAGTGTGAGCATGTCCTGGGGACGCAAGTTGTCTTCTGTCTACACTGGGCAATAAGGATAGAAGCTTGCCTGTGGTCCATTTGTTACTCACTTCTTTGGCTGGAAGTTTTTGCTTTTCTCTTTAACAGAGATGCCAACAAGGATACCTGAAAATGTGGGATGGACATGAGGACAAAGAAAGTCATTGGAGGAAGTTATGCACAGAGGGAGCTTTGAGTATAAACAAATTATGGCCATGAAGTTAGAAGACCTCTAAATTCCTCTGTGTCATTGGCTCTCCTTTCCCCTTTGGGTTCTCTCCACCTGGTGGTGCAACGGTTAAACACGTAACTGCTAATTAAAAGGTTGGTGGTTCAAACACACCCAGTGGCTCCATGGAAGAAAGGCCTGGCAATCTGTTTTCATGAAGATTACAGCCTAGAACACCCTATGGGGTTGTTCTACTCTGTCACATGGGGTCTCTATGATTCAAAAATCGACTTGATGGCACCTAACAATAATTGCAGTAAGGAGCTTAGAAAGACACCCACCATGAATTCCAGTACAGCCATTGCTGCTGAGAGCCCCTAGTTTGCTGAGAGAAAAACATGCTGGCTACTTCTTGGCTCGCTTTCTTGGAGAAGACCCAACCTGTGCTTGGGATTCCATGAGCTTAGAACAATTCTTTCTCCAGTTTGGAGGCACTTTCTGTGGCTAACCTTGACTCCTTTCCAACCATACATACTGTGTTTGCAAGATGTGCAAAGACATCTTGTGAGGGACCAGTTCAGGCCCCTCGTGGGGGGGAGTGAGCTGTTGAAAACTGGTTAATTATAAGTTATATAAGAATCATCACCTTGTGGAACAAGTCAATCTGTGACTTCCTTCCTGTAACCAATCAGGTTAAAGGGTCTTCTCTCAGATTAATTAGCCTTCAGTCACCAAATTGCAATCCTAATTCACCACACTTGGCACTTGTTCTAGAGACCTGTAGAGGATGATGTTTACATAATTTTAGAACCTCATGGTATAATTTAAACACTGAGGTAGTTTTGAATGGCATTTCATTAAGGCATCTATGGGCATTATGAGCTAAAAGCTGTGGTATGTTAGCTTTAAAAGAGTATTTATGTTGGAATAATTTTAAAATAATGTTTACATAACCGTAAGGTCTGTTCGATTGGTGTTGAACATAGGGCAGCATATAAGAGTGGTTTTAGTGAAAGCCAAGATTTCTCCCAAGCAGCAGGATTCCTTTGGGATGAATCAACATCACTGTAAACAAAGTATTTGCAAAAGGTTAAGGGTTATATTTTTTAAAAAATTTGAATCTGCCCCAAAGGACTATGTCTACTTAAAATGATTGCTGGGAGTCAAAACAGAATAATACAAAGGTAAAAAAAAAATGCATGGGAATATTTTTCCTTAAAACAGAAAAAAATCTAAGTATTATTATTAATAATTATATATGTCTGTATATATCTATGTATGTATGTAAAGGATCATCTGTCAAAGCCTTAATCAATGCAGTGTGAAAAATGCCAACCCACTGAGCATAGCTTTACTGTACAGGTCCCACTGTGTGAGCTGTACGTTCTCTGCCTCTCCTCTCTAAACCAAGCTCTAGTTTGGCCTGTGTTGGCCATGGATGGAGGTTCAGCCTGTATTCTCCTATCCTGACATATGGCTGACCCTGTCCAGGGTGAACTTTGATATGGTCAAGGGAGCAGCCTGTCTCCTGGTGCAGGTCTCACCCACCTGTTCTGGCGAATTTCATTTCTCTGAGTTTTTTGGGAGTTTTATTGTATCTCCTTTTCTCTGTCAAAGTTGAAACTGAGATCAGAATGTATAAGGTCGTTGTTAGGGTAGACATCTCTCTGAGGACACAAAACTCTGTAGTTTAAACCATCAGAAGTCTAAATATGATGAAAATTCTAACTGAAAGTTTGGCAGTTAGAGTCACCTTGGAAGAAAGGCCTGGTGACCTACTTCCAAAAAATCAGCCATCGAAAACCCTGTGAATCAAAGTTCTGCTGTGACACATAGGGTGTTGCCATGAGTTGGAGTTGACTCAACAGCTAATATTATTATTGTTATGCCACGGAAGAGTGGAAGAAGTCAGAAATGGTCTGTTCTGCCTTGGCCTTTGCCACCTTTGTGAAACAATGGCACTTCTTTTTTCTCTCTTTAATATGAACATTTTCAAAAACACACAGTTTCAACAATGATCAACATATGGCCAGTTTGAAACAATGGGGCCTTTATGAAAACCTTTATCTGGGCCCTCTGTGAATGACGCAGTCCCAGAAAAGACAAGCTCTGTTTCAGCTGGGGCTGGCCTGGCCATACCCCTGGGAGCTCACCCTCACTGGCTTTCATGCACAATACATGTAGCCATGCAAAGAACACAAAGCTGGCTTCCCCAGAGAAAGCCCATTTAGCAGAAAGACCCAGGCCCTCTGACTTGGCTGTCCCAATTACGTGGTGACCTTCCTGCAAATCTGCCCAGAAGCAGATGAAGGAGCTAGAGAACACTGTGCAGGCTGCATCTTCCTTTAACTGGGTGCCAGGCCTTGGGGGTGCCACAGAGCTCTAAGACTAGTTTTGGTTCAGGGAATTACATTAGGGTGAACTGATGAAATATTTGGAATCTGGGGCCCCAGCCTGATCTAAATTCTAGTGTAATCTGGTCTAGCAGAGCTAGAACCTGGGTCCCAGTGCAGGGTAAGGACCTGAAATCAACTTAGCCCAGTGGAATTTCTCCAGAGAAAATGAGGCTGCACATTAGTTCTTTGTCAAGACAAGTGTTTCTGAAGTAAAGTTTCATATCACTCATGAGTGGCTCAGCCTGTTTAAATAATTTGCAAAAGCTCAACAACTAGCGAATTTACCTTGGCATTTAGCACTGATCTGGTCCATTTGATAACTGTCAAATAATTTATGGTATCGTTGTTGTTCTGCTTGTGAACAACTCTTCCCGCAGTTTCAGCAGATGTTTTGAAAAAATTTCCTTTGTAGATGGAATTTCTCAACAATAACCCCAAATGTCTAAAGGCTTTCTCTAAAAAAAAAAAAGAAGAAGAAGAACTGTGGAAAGGTGTATCTACAAATATATGGGTATTTTAATTTTGTGTAATTTTACATTTCATGAAATGATGTCAGTTTCAAAGAGAAGGTGAAGAGGAGCTAACATGTGTCTCTGTCTAGAAAGACTGTTTCATTAAAGAACGTGGATTTATTGATGTGGCTTGTGTTTACATTATTAGTTCAGCCAAGATTAGTCCTCTTGGCAATATTTTTTTCTAATAACTAGAAGATTTGAGGAAAGATATTAAAAGAGGAAACTTCTCTATGGCCTTCCACTTCCTGGTGAGTATCCAAGTGCCTGACTCCAGAACATCATGGACCCAGAAGACCGTGATCAAAGCTAACGACGGTTTTCAAAGCTGCCCCTTTCCTTGGACCCAAACAAGCTGGAAATCTGGCAGTATGCATAATTGTTGTGAAGATGGTTGCTGATGCAACAGTTCGAGGCTTTGAGGTGGTCTGTGGTAGGTATCTTTATTCCTCAGGGTCCATCTCTACCTTCCTCCACTTGACTGACATCTGACATGAGATTGAAGGTCATGGCTCTAATGAGGTGGTCCTGTCTCTCCAGATTCTAGTAGCCACTCCTTCCACTTACCCTTACAGACCTAGGAGGGATAATGGCTCCCTCTGGTCTAACCCTGGGATACTGCTCTTCCAAAAGGACGTTCAAAAATGGTCCCCTTAGTGAGCTCTCCTCAAATATAGTAAATTGAGTATCTCATCTGTTTCTTTCTGGGACTCTGACTCTGTGTGTGTGTGTGTGTGTGTATGATTTAGGTGAGTTTACAGAGCATATTCACTTTCCATACAGAAGTTCACATACACTTTGTGTCATGCATGATATTGACTACAATTTGCCACAATGCAACAGCTCCCCTCCTACTTCCTCCCAACAGTTACCTCTTCCCTGTGTCCATCCCTCCATACACTCCAGCCCCCTGAGCTGTCTCCCTGTGCATAAACAGCCCTTCTATTCTCCCATGATTGTTCTCTCCAAGGAGTGTATCTACCTAGTGTAAAGGTTCACCTCATATGCCTGTCTTTGGTTTCGCTGAAAGCTACAGGTGTGGGTTCAATTCCAGACCTGAGGGGCAGCTAGGGGCCATAGTCTCAGTGGTTCCACCAGGCTCTATCAGACCAGCAAACCTACCCCCCCTTTTTTCTTTCCCCCAAATGATTTTGAGTTTTGTTCCACATTGTTCTCCCACTCTACCAAGAATCTTCTATAGAGATCCCCCTCCGAGTTGTTGACAGTGGTAGCCGGGCACCATCTAGTTCTTCTGGTCTCATAGTCATATAGGCTGAGGATTGCATGGTGTACCAGTCGCTTGGACTAATTGTTTTCATGATTCTTTGATTTTCTTCTTTCTTCTTTGCTCTGGATGAGGAGAGACCCATCATTGCATCTAGATGGCTGCTTGCAAGCTTTTAAGATCCCAGTAGCTACTTGCCAGGGAGCTCTGGTAGCATAGTGTCTAAGGCACTTGATTGCTAACCAGAAGGCTGGCAGTTCAAACCCACCAGCCACTCCCCAGAAGGAAGGTTGGGCAATCCTACTTCCGTAGTGATACTGCCTCGGAAACCCAAGGAGGGGTCGCTATGAGTCAGGGCTGACTCGACGGCACATAACAACAACAACAACAAAGTATGTTATGCCAATTGAGCTTGATGTCCCCTGCAACTATGGTGGGACCCTGACTTTTACAGGTCATTTCTAACACAAGGACAGAGACTGTATATAATCAATCAAGGACATTTTTTTTTTTAGGTTAACTAGATGAAGAAGCTTTGGGGCATGTTGGAGTTTTATGGATTCTGTCAGAGAAGGGTAATATGGGACTATGTTTTTAAAGAAACTCAGAGTGTTCTCAATGAATAGCACTTTCACACATCCAAGTATTTTGTGCTTTATGTAGAATCTCCAGGTTTTATGACATCTGCCCTTTTGCAGCAGTCACTAGTTTATATCTATCTATCTCATGTCTACATGTCTAAGTAGCCCTAGTGGTGCACTGTTTAAGCACTTGGCTGCTAAGCAAAAAGTCAGCAGTTCAAACCCCCCATCCACTCTGTGGTAGGAAGATGTGATAGTCTGCCTTCATAAAGATTACAGTCTTGGAAACCCTGTAGGGCAGTTCTACTGTGTTCTATAGGGTGACTATGAATTGGAATCAACTTGATGGCAATGGGTTTGGTCTTTGTTTTTTTGCCTGTCTGTCCATTCATCCATCCATCCATCTGTCCATCCATCCATCCGTCCATCCATCTAACCATCTATCCATCCGTATATACATCATCTATTCTCAGAAGTCTATTTGAGCTATTTTCTTTCCGTGATTTCTAAACACCAGTAAATTCAGTGAATTTAGGCAATCACTATGGAGTTTTAAGACTTGTAAGCCCAAGAGGCAGAGAGCACATTGGTCTTGTTCAGAATCTTATCGCCAGTGCCTGGTAGTTATAGGAGACTGATTAGAGTGGAAGTTCTAACCCCTTCCTGCTCATTAGAATCACCTGAGATGCCCTAGCCACACTCTGATCAAGACATTAGAATCTCTAGGGGTGGAGCCAGGCATTAAGAATTTTGATAAGCTCTCTGGTGATTCAAATGTGCAGCCAAGATGGAAAATCCACTGTATTAGAGACAATCTGGTTTCCTCCACTGTGCCATGAATCTGCTCTTCTCAAGGTCACCAGCAACCCCCATACTGGGAACCAAATACTTCTCAGCAGCATTTGACACAATTAACCTCTCCCCACTTCTTGAAACACTTCTTTCCTGTGATACCAAACTTAATACTGATTTTACTCCCACATCACTCAGCCTTCCTTGCTTGGCTTCACCTCTTCCACCAAGCCTCTAAGTATCTATGAGTCCTGGCTTTCTGCTTTGCCTACCTGCTCATACACTCTTGTAGCATTAAAAGCAGCTCCAGGTCAACCACTTCCAAATACACAACCTCAGCCCCACACCACCTTTATCCAAAGACTGACTTCACACCACCACTTGGATAGCTCGTAGATGGCTCAGGTTTAAGGTAGCCCAAATAGAGCTTTGATCTCCATGCTTCAAAATTTTTTCTCCAGTATTATCTGCCTGGATATATGGGGCTCCACCCTCTCTATTGGTCAAGCCAAAACCCAGGGGTCAGCTTTATTTTACTCTTTCCCTCACTTTCTCTATTCTTCCCCATAATTTTCCCATTAAATCTTGTTGGCTCTACCTTTGCAATAAATTCCAATCCTTTCACTGCTCTCTATTTCCAATGCCCTAATAGTAAGGCAGCCACCAACATCACTCACTCGAACTCTGCTAACCAGTCTCTAGCTTCCACGCTTATCTCTGTAATCATGCTCCACACAGAAGCCAGCGTGATCTTTGCCACAATCAATCTGACCAAGCTCCTCTCCCATTAAAACCCAGAAAAGCTCCCCATTTTTCTGGGAATGAAAATCTTGCCATGCCCTGCCTTGCCCACATAATCAGGTCTCTTGACTTACTCTTTCCTTAGCCCCTTCCAGGTTCCTTCCCTGATTCATGTTGCTCCAGCCACAGCAACTCCCTTCCAAGTCCCTGAACACACCAAACTTGTTTCAGCCTTGTCGCATTTGCTGTTCCCTCTGCCTGGGATTTTCTTCCCTTCACCCATCACATGTCTACCTTCTTCTCATCTTCCACGTGCAGCTCTTAGAGATCTAGAGTAACTGCCTCCCCAGTTGCCCTGACCATCGTCTCCTTACACCACTCCATTTATTTCTCTCATAATGGTTTCACTTGGTTTCTGTAGGCCTGCCCTCCAGAATATAAATTCCATCAGAATTGGGGCCTCATTTGTCTCCATCACTTCATCACCCAGAGGTGCCAAGAATAGTGCTGACATATGTTGTTAATGCTGTTGGTTACCATCAAATTGTTTCTGATAAATGGAGAACACTCTGACATATACCAAACCAAAACCACTGCCATCAAGTCAATTCTGACTCATAGCGACCCGATAAGACAGAGTAGAACTACCCCCAAAAAGGTTTCCAAGGCTGTAAATCTTTACATAAGCAGATTGCCACATCTTTCTCCCATGGAATGGCTGGTAGATTTGAACCATTGCCCTTTTGGTTAGCTGCAAAATGCCTTAACCACTGCACCAGCAGTAGGTGTCAAAAAGATTTGTTGAATGAATTAATTAATGCATTCATTTAAATGAGCAAATTACTGGCTTTTCATTCTGCTGTTTTATTGGTATGGGAACTCTAATTCCTTCACAGTTTTAAAGAAGCAAATTTATACAGAGAAATCATAAGAAATAGAAAGCAGTCTGTGACAATAGCTTCCTTCAGTTCTAGGAGGCTTCCCACTCAAAATGTGGGAAGAGAAGGGAGTGAGGCGAAACTCACCAGACAGCTCATTGTCCAGTGAGTGTGTTTATTGTGGCAGCTACAGGTCTATCTCAAAAATACAACAGGCTCCAGTGTCCTTTCAGGCATCCTCTACATTGGTGCTGGTAAGGTATTGACTCCATTGTCTCCAAAAAAGTGGTAAATGACTGGGGATGGAGCTGCCCCACAGCTCTGCTTAACCCATTGTTTGCAGAGAGTGGCTGGCTACAGAAGTCTCCAAGCTCTCAGGCCAGCTGTGGCTTCATTGCTGAGGCTGAGGTGTACCAAGAAAGGAAAAAAAAAAAAGTGCAAAGGACAGAAAATGAAAGCAAAGAGTAAAGGCCACATGCTTGATGGAAGCAGAGACCATCCTTCCTGAGGGGAGGGCCAAGGACTTGGCTACACCCTTGACCATAAATGGCTCGGGAGGGCTCTCCAACCAGTGGACTGTCTTGGAGCCACTCCTTACCCTGCTGCCTGTGCTTTCTCAGTTGGATGGTCCTACAAATGGGAGACATATGCCAATAACACCAGCGAGAAAGGAGCTTAAACTCATCAAGGGCAGTGTTTGGAGAAAGCTTTTGGGAGGCTGTCAGAAATGGTGAGTGAGAGCTAACATCTTTTCTATCTCACCCTGAACTCTCAATAACACCATTATAACCCCATTCCCAGGTTCTAAAAGCTCCTGTCTCCTAATTGAATACAACTGTACATCTGCTAAACAAGTGTACCAGACCCTCAGTACAGTGAAGCCAAGGGGCTTGTTTTTTCAGTATTTTTTTTATGTGTAAAACACTAATCATTTTTAAAAACCTGATCCAATTTTTTCCAATCTCATCTCTCATTTAATTTTGTTTCTAAAACCCCATATACAAGGGTGCAGAGTAGATGCTGAACTCCATGCATTTCCTAATCGAAGCACTGGGTCTGATGGATGACTTTGTTTCTTGTTTGCTCAACCTGGCTTTTGCTACATTATCAGGAATATGGATGTTCATAGGTTTCTTTTTCTTTTTGACTTGTGATATATATTTGATTGCGATTTAATAGGAGCTCTGGTAGCATAGTGCCTAAGGCATTTGACTGCTAACCAGAAGGCTGGCGGTTCAAACCCACCAGCCACTCCTCAGAAGGAAGGTTGGGCAATCTACTTTCGTAGTGATACTGCCTCGGAAACCCAAGGAGGGGTTGCTATGAGTCGGGTCTGACTCGACAGCACATAACAACAACAACAACAGCGACTTAATGAAACAAAGTTGCCTAAGTTAGGAGGTAAAATAGAAGAGGTTTCTGTGATTACTTTATTAGGGAGATAATTAAAAGGAGTTGAATTTAGGGTTTGGACTTAGGAAGATCTGTGATCTAACCCAACCTTGACTACTCACCAGCTGCTGACCTTCAGAAACCTATCTTGTACTCAGTTTCCACAAATCCATGTGTCGGAATAAAAGTGCTCACCTCATGGAGAGGATATTGGTACAGTACCTGATAGATAGTACCCACTCAATAACAATGCGTTATTATTCCTCAATTCCTCCTCCCCTGCTCACAAACAGCACCCTCATAACACAAGTGACACTCAGCCAGCGAGATCCTAAGTGCCTCCAGAATCGTTATGAAGATATTAACATAGTTCTTGGACTAATTTTAGCAGTAAGTGTAACCTATGCCATTTAGTCAATTCCAACTCATAGCGACCCTATAGGACAGAGTAGAACTGCTCAGTAGGGTTTCCAAGGCTGTAATCTTACGGAAGCAGACTGCCACATCTTTCTTCCATGGAGTGGCTGGTGGGTTTAAACTGCTGACTCTTTGGTTAGGAATCAAGTGCTTAACCATTGCACCACCAGGGCTCCTTAACAATTGGGGGTTGGATCAAATTCTGGTCTTTTGAATGCTGGTAATCCATGCATGCAACTCCATCCAACTAGTTTTTGCCAAGTAGCTTTCCGGTGACTTTTTCTGTACTAGACAGGCCATAAAGACAATGGTTCCACCTCATATGCCTAGAGTATTTTACAGTTAGGAAGAAACTACCACAGATATTATCCCCTTTGGACTTTTCCTGAGAGGTGAGCGAGATACTTCCCCACTTTGGGGATGGGAAAACTGAGTCTGAGAGAATAGATATATTGTGAGGAAATAGAGGCCAGAGAAGTTGAGTGACTTGTCGAAGGACATGCAGCTACTAAATGGCTGAGTCTGTACTCAAATCCTAATTAGGTTAATCCAAAGCTCAATGTCGCCTTATCCTACCCCACTGCATCTCTAAAGGGTACTTCGTTAGATTCTTCTGTACCCATATCTGTACATTGTTTTTCTCTCCATGAGATCACTGTTTCTACAAAACATGAATATCTTTCTGAAATTGTCCAAAATATTTGTCATCCAAATGTTCATAAACAGTGCATGCAATTGCCTTCTTGTTGCTGATCCCCCTCCTCCGCTGTCCTCCCAATGGAAGCTTTGTCTTGGGCCTGCTGACATCAGTGCCCAGTGCTCCCTGATGAGATAAGGCTCTGGGCAGCTGTGTTACTCAAGGCAGTGACCATCAAGTGTCTCTGCAGCACTTGTGGCCTTGGCTGTTGTTAGCATGATGAGCAGTGGTCAGGTCCCTTGAAGAAAATGACACTGGCCTAAGGCATCCTGAATGTTCTACTCACTCTAGCATTGTCCTGAAAGAAGAGGTGTGTAGTTCTGTGGGCCCGGGAGCTCCAACTAGTCTTCAGAAACCATAGGAGTTGTGTAGAAGCTTTGTGGAGCAAAGGAAAGAGGTCTGTCACCAGAAGATCCAGGTTTTGGTAGCAGCTAACTAGTTGTGTGAACTTGGGCAACGTGGTTACATTCTTGAGCCTAGGTTTCTTCTTCTATAAAGTGAGGGCACCCTCTAAGACAGAGAGGTGAGCTAAGTCACCATTATAGCACGCTGGCTGGATGGGTCCGTCTTGACTGAAACATGTAATCTTTGGGGTAAGAGGTGGAGTGAAGATACATCATTGATGCCTAAAACATTTTTAGTTCACAGAAGATTTTCTCATTTATTAATCCATCTGAACTCCAACCTACCAATAAACTAGCTAAAATAGATATATCAGTAATCTTGAGACTCTCTCCTCTAGAACCATCTTTTCAGTTGGATATGAAGCAGGGACAGAGCTCATTAGTCCTGTTTTAAGAGATGGAAACCAAAACTGTTCTCATTTGTTCATTAGGCAATTTCTGATGAGGCTCGGGGTCTCTGTTTCCTTTTCTACTAATCAAGGGTTTGAGATAGAAGGTCTGTGAGGCATTTCAGGTCTAAAACTTTATGATTCTTTTGGATTTTTAATCCTTTACTTTATTTGATATTCCTATTGTTGGATAGGGAGCTCTGGTAGCACAGTGGCTAAGACACTTGCCTGCTAACCAGACGGCTGGCGGTTCAAATCCACCAGCCACTCCTCGGAAGGAAGGTTGGGCAATCCTACTTCCGTAGTGATACTGCCTCAGAAACCCAAGGAGGGGTCGCTATGAGTAGAGTTTGACTCGATTGCACATAACAACAACAACAACATTGTTGGATAAGTCTAATCTAAGACTAGCAAATCCATTGTTCCTAGAACTATAGAACCTGGTCCTGGGAGGCTTGGGGGAGATCAGGAGCTTGAGTGCAGGCCATGCCTGGGGGTTAGGAGGGCTGGCGCTGTTTCAGGGCTCAGCCAGAGGGCCATAAATTAAACAATGCTGGACAATGCTGGACGTAGGGGCTGTGAGTCTGGAGAAACAAGACCACTTCCGCTCAGGGCCATGAGGGGCAGAAAGCATCACCAGCTGGATCAGAGCAAAGTCCACCTCTTATTCTCATCCAAGCAGAGAAGAGACTTGATGAAGAACCAGTCTGGGAAGGCTGGCATCACAGAGCCCAAACTGGAGTGACAGGAGACGGGAAAAGGAGGAGGCAGGGCCTGTCCCTGAAAAATGCCACCTGGGCAGGCTAACAATTTAGAGTCCCATTGAGCTCATGATCTTTAAATACTGATTCTGTATTTAGGGAGAGGTAAGACTGGGTGAAAGAAGACCTGTGGCTCAGTGGTTAAAGCACTTGGCTGCTGACTGAAACGTTGCAGTGCAAACCCAACAGTCGCTCCTCTGGAGAAAAGGTGTCAGTCTGCTTCCGTAAAGATGATAGCCTTGGAAACCTTGGGGCAGTTCTACTCTCTTCTATAGGGTCACTATGAGTTGGAATTGACTGGAAGGTAATGAGAAGACTAGGTATTGAGTGAAGGAAGGATGGGGAAAGGTTAGCCTCTCCTCGATGATCCTGCCCAGTTTATCTTCAACCCAGAAGCTCGGCATGAGATTCAAAGAACCCTTGTCTTTACTGGGCTAAGTCCTCTTAGGAGGTGGCTTAAGGATCACACATTCTTTCTGGAGTATGCCTCTTAAGGGATTTCACTTCCTACTCTAAGTAGGAAGTGTCAAAGTACTTCTAACCTGAAAGGAGTTCTGGGAAAAAAGAAATGTCAGCATTTCGCTGAATTTCTTGCAACATTTTTGTAGTTAAGGCTAGAGCCTCACTGGTTGGTCCTTTAATCTGGGCCTGCTTGAGGACCTGGGGAGAGAAAAGGGAAGCTAAGGGAAGAACTCATGTCTGCAGGCTTCACGATCCCTTGCCCCAAATCCTAACACTTTGGGGCCAAGATTGGTAATGGAGACTGGGGCTGGCTGACGTTTCGGTATCAATAGGTTCTCTAAGAGCCAGCCAGGGACACTGAAGTTTGAAGGAGGGATCACAAGCCACACTGACCATTCCTGGGAGCTTTAATGTTTCCTTCTCTCTTGCAGAGTTTTTCCCTAAACTTCACGTTGCCGGGTAACACGGTAAGTACATCAGTCCTCAAAGACCAGGCAAGTCAAGGGAAGCCAATGCACAATTTATGCTGGCCTTCCAGAACTCCATCATAATAAGTTATAGTTACCATTTTATAAAGTTTTACTTAATCTTACAAATTTTTCAAAAATCATTATCAATAGTTGGGTGTGCTGAATTTCTTTTAATTATAAAAATTGTAACTACACATTTAGGAAAATGAAGAAAATAACAGAAAAGGCACTACATTTCCATCAGCACAAAACATTTTGGTATAGCCTATTCTAGTCCTTTTTGACTTTACATAAATTTTAACTTTTTAAAAAATCTTTGTACAATTATATTTTCATTCTACATATACTTTCCATTACAGAACAGTCTTCATGATAGAAGATGGTCATTTGATATATTTCCAAGTGGATTATTCCTTCCGTTGGTTAATTGCAATTAGAAATAATTTTGTGATAAGCATCAGTATACATAAATCCTTGTCTGTCTCCATATGAGATTACTTCCTAGTATATGATAGAGAAGGGGGATTATTATTCTTTCTTTTTTTTCTTTTATTGTGATTTGGGTGAAAGTTTACAGAGCAAATTCGCTTTTCATACAGCAGCTCACATACACTTTGCCTCATGACATTGACTATAATTTACCACAATGCAACAGTAGAAGGGAGATTTTTAGATCAATAAAAAGGAGCATTTTATGGCTCTTGATTATGGCATTTAGTTGCAGGTCAAAATAGACCTTTGTAGCTGTAGATGGCGTACAGTTTTAATCCATACTTATCCTCATCTTCTGCTCTTTGGGGTATAAAAATAAGACAACATCCAGGGCTATTTTCTGAGCAGTAGTGCTACTGTGATTGAGCTAGACAATTACTCAGTGGGTTTGACTTTCTCAAATTTTTCAAATCAATTAGTTATATGGTTATTCAAAGAGGACAAACTGAAAGGGCCCAGGGCCTTCTCTCTTAACCCCACACTCTGCCACTTCATGGAATTTCCCTGAGTTGGGGCTAATGTAGAACTTTATTCCTTGAGATTTATGGCTCAAGGCAAGACTCTCACCTGAAGTCCAGAGCTGCTTCTTGAGTGGAGATGTGAGCCGGAATCATGTAATGTATTCATGCAGTGTGGAATTGTCACCAGCAATGTGGGTAATTCACAACCTCAGATACCTCCAGAACCATTTGAGAACGAAGAAGACTTCTCTACGAGCCTTGCTTCCACCAGGATTTACATTTGTTTTCCTTCTAAGGAACGTGTGCTGGAAAGGTGGAGGCAGAGGCAGGAGAAGGCCTCCAGCAGTGGTAAAATGTGATGGCAAATCCACGGAATAATGAAGGCACTACTTGGATTTCTGAGTTCTCTATCCTTGTATTCAAATTTCATTCCAATTGTTACCAGGGAAGCAAAGAAGTAAGGTTCTATTTGGCAATCTTTTTTTTTTTTTTTTTTTTTTTAACGGAAAGCTCAGCAAAGGGGTAAGCTGGAGACAGTACAGCTGAACTTTGGGTAGACTATCTTGTATAATATATACTCTGCAGATTTTGTTTTCTTAAAGGCATGTTCTTCTTTCTACAGACTTCCTCCCCAGTTGTTACAGGTGGGAAAGAAGCAGTAAGTATATCACTTAAATTATAGAACCAGGGTTTAGTCATTTATAACATGGAAACAATAACTCTCTATCTACACCATGCATTTGTTCTGAGGGCTGCTTGGTATGTGCCTGCCAACAGGGCCTGGCTCAACAACTACCTCAAAAGTGAAGGAGAGTTTGGAGGTTCTTTAAAAAGTTAAACATAGAATTACCATACCCACTGCCATGCAGTTGATTTTGACTCCTAGCGACCCTAAAGATAGAGTAGAACAGCCCTACAAGGTTTCCAAGGCCTTAAATCTTTACGGAAACAGACTGCCTCATTTTTCTCCTGCAGAGCATGATGGTGGGTTTGAACTGCCAATCTTTGGATTAGCAGTTGCTTGCTTTAACCACTGTGCCACCAGAGCTCCAAGAATTACCCAGCAATTCTATCCTTAGGTCAATACCCAAAAGAATTGAAAGCAAGAACTCAGCTCCATGCACACAAATGCTCATAGCAATAATTACTCTTAATAACCAAAGGATGAAAACAACTCAAGTGTCCATCAGCAGATGAATGGATAAACAAAATGTGGTATCGCCACGTTGTTGTTGTTGTTAGGTGCTGTTGAGTTGGCTCCGACTCATAGCAACTCTATGTCCAACAGAATGAAACACAGCCCAGCAGTGTGCCAGCCTCACAATCCTTGCTATACCTGAGCCCATCGTTGTAGTCACTGTGTCAATCCATCTTGTTGAGGGTCTTCCCCTTTTTCACTGACCCTCCACTTTACCAGGCATGACATCCTTCTCCAGGGAATGGTCCCTTCTGACAACATGACCAAAGTAGGTGAGACAAAGTCTGGCCATTCTAGCTTCCAAGGAGCATTCCAGCTGCACTTCTTCCAGGACAGATTTGTTTGTTTGTATCACCACACAACAGCATATTATTCAGCCATAAAGAATAATGAAGTTTTGATACATGCTACGACATGGTTGAGCCATAAAAACATGTTGAGTGAAACAAGTCAAACGCAAAAGGGAAAATATTGTATGATCCTGCCCATATGAAATTTCTAGAATAGGCAAATGCATAGAGACAAATGTTTATTGGTGCATAGAGTGAAACAGGAAGTTATTGCCCAAGGGGTATTGAGTTTAGGATGATGAAAACCTTTTGGAAATAGAAGATGGTGATAGTGGGACAACATTGTGAATATAATCAATGGCACTGAATTGCACATTTTTAAATGATTAAAATGGAAGATTTTATATATAATATAATACTAATAATGAAAAGTTTTTTAAAAATGTACAGGAGAACACACAAAATCACCAATGAATTTCACAAAATTGAGCAGAACAGCCAGATACAAAAAAGAGCATACATGTATTTGTATCAATATTAAGTTCAAAAACAGACAAAACTCATCTGTGATGTTGGGATAGTGGTTGCACATGGGGTGACTGGAAGGGAGCAGGATGGGATCCTGGGGTGCTGGCAATGCTGTTTCTTGATCTGGGTGCTGCTTACATGAGTGTGTTCATCACATGGAAATTCATCTAGCTACATATTTATGATTTTTATATTTTTCTGTGTGCATGTTATTCTTCCATAAAACCACTACCATCAAAATGAAGAAGACTCCAGCATTAAATAAGAATTGTAGATGTATAGGCATTTTACAGATTATCTTCAATATTTCCAAGTAATCTGAAGATCTGAAAGTTTATGTGGCTGCAAGGATGGCTATTTCCACTCAGAGAAAAGTGAAACAAACATTTGAAAATTAACTCATTAATATGTTGTATAAATAAATCCAAAGAATTCAAAATGGTGTGGGATATTAGAAAACTGTTTACTTTATGCCAAATTGATAGGTGAAGTGCTATCTAGTGTTGCCTTGAATTGTATCTCCGGGGAAGCTTAGCAGCTTTTCCCATGTTGATTAGACATTTGTGCTTCTGTTCCTAGGAATGGCCTGTCACATCCATTGCACATTTTTCTATTGGACTATCACTGTTTTCTACTTGATTTAAACTGTGAAATAAGTAATTTATCACATACATTGCAAATATTTTTTGTGGTATTTCACTAAGCTTTTGGTTTTGCATATGACATTTAGGGTTTTTTGTTTTGTTTTATTTTTAATCTATAAAACTTTGTTTTCATTCTTGGAGAGTCTAGGGATCCCCTAACTCTGTGCTCTTCTCTCTCTGTCAGGACTGTGGGCCTCCTGTTGGGTTAGCAGCAGGCATCCCATCCCTGGTGGCCACAGCCCTGCTGGTGGTTTTATTGTTGACCTTGATTCGTCGAAGAAGAAGAAGAAGCAATGACTCCACTGAGGTAACTACCAGCTTCTTTGGTTTCCACTGTGCTAGCAGGGATCAGTTTTTTCGGTGAACTGGCTTCTGGGCTAAAAATGTCCAAGTTCAAGACCCATGTCTGTTTCCTGAGGACAAGATAGTGGAAGTTTCTGTGCCTTTGCTTTCTATCTCAGACTCAAGATATTACACGTGAAGCAGAAATGATCTGTCAATACAACCCTCATGTCATTGAAGAAATCTATGGCAACAAATATGGTGGCAAAGGGTTGCAGTGGAAAGGGATGGTTATTGCCATGGCAAGCCCATGTCCATACATGTTCTAAAGTTGAGAAAGAGAAGGGCACAAGCTTCACAAAGAGAGGATGGAGAAAATCTTTGAAAAGATAGGAAACAAAAACGTACTCAGGTGTCTATGGAAGGGATATGTCCAGAAGTATGTGACTCTATTTATTTCTACCCTTTTCCACATCTGAACACACATAAGTCACATGAGAATCTGTCTATCCCTCAAATGCCAGCTTGCTCTGAGGACCATGCCCAGAGTTCAAAGGCTACACAGAGAAGTAGCCCACAAGGTTCTGTAGTTATGATACAATTCTATTCTCTATTTATGAACGTTCATGGTTGTTCTCACTGTAAGCATTAATGGGAAGGTGGAAAATATAGGACCTAATCCAGGCTCTGCCACTCTGTAGGTTACATGAACCTAGACTAGTGACTTAATCTTTTTTGATCCTCAGTTAGTTCAGCTCCAAAGCAGAGGTCATGCAATTACCTGTCTGTTTTACAAAGTAGGCAAAATTGTAAGGAAGAAATGAGATCATGAATGTAAAGATGTTTGACAAGCTATAAACTCTAAAAACATTAAGAAGTATTGTGGTTGTGGGTGGTATTTTTTAAGTAAATGTTTGTCAACTCTTCAGCACACTTCAAAATCATCTAGGAGGCTAAAAAAATAACCAATAGCCTAAACCAGTTAAATCAGAATCTCTAGAAGATAGAGCTGTGCACTGGTCTTTTACAAAACATTTTATTATGGATCATTGTAGACATATACAAAGGTAGAGAGAATAGTATCATGAACACAATTATCAGCACATGGCCAACAATTTCACTCCTACTCCCACCCACTCCTCCACCCTTTCAATTTTGGATTATTTAAAAAGTAACTCATGCTGGTTTCTTGTTTTTGCTTTTGTTGTTTTGAGATGGGTGGTTGTTGTTGTTGTGTGCCGTTGAGTCGGCCCCGACTCATAGCGACCCCTCCTTGGGTTGCCGAGGCAGTATCACTACGGAAGTAGGATTGCCCAACCTTCCTTCCGAGAGATGGGTGGGGGGTGGGGGGGGCTATAATCTGTTTGTTTTGGTTTTAAAGTTCCAGATGATTCTAATGTGCACCCAGATTTAAGAATCACTGCTTTTAATTATGAGCAAGGTCAAATGCTATGACACTTCATTTCTTCTTCTTTGTTTGGGTACCAATTTAGGAAAGTGAGAGACCATATGAAATTTCAGACATCTATGACAATCCCAAGGTATCTGAGGTAAGAGCGCTTAGTTTAGTCTCTAAATACCATTTCTAACACTAAACAAGGTGAGTCTTTTAAAGGCTTTCATGTACAGGAAAAGTACTCTGTGAACACATATGAAAAGAGACTACCTAGTGAAGTTCAAGCACAAAGAAGTTCTCAGTGGATTTTTATTGACTAGACAGCAATGCAAGGTTGATTTAGTTTTGGAAAATCAATTGATGTAGTTTATTTCACTGACAAATTGAAAGAGAAAAATTACATGACCATATCAACAGAAGAGGAGCTCTGGTGGCATAGTGCCTAAGGAAGGCATTTGACTGCTACCCAGAAGTCTGGGAGTTCAAACCCACCAGCCACTCCTTGGAAAGATCTGACAATCTACTTCTGTAGAGATACCACCTTAGAAACCCAAAGAGAGGTCACTATGAGTCGAATCAACTCAAGGACAGTGAGTTTGGTTTTTGGTATCACTAGAAGAAAGTTCAAAAAAATTCACCAGCCATTTGTGATATGAAGTCTTTATTGTTGTTGTTAGGTGCTGTTGGGTCAGATCCAACTCACAGCAACATCACGTACGACAGAATGACTCACTGTCCTGCACCATCCTCACAATCATTGCTATGATTGAGCCCAGCGTTGCATCCACTGTGTCAATTCATCTCTTTGAGGGTCTTCCTCTTTTTCACCGACTCTCTACTTTACCAAGCATGATGTCTTTCTCCAGGGACTTGTCCCTCCTGATAACATGTCCAAAGTATGTGAGACAAAGGCTAGCCATCCTCACTTCTAAGGAGCATTCTGGCTGAACTTCTTCCAAGACGGATTTGTCCATTCTTCTGGCAGTCTATGATGTATTCAATATGAACTTTTAGCAAACCAAAAATAGAATAAGAACATCCTTAGGTTGGAAGATGATATCTTTTTTTAAAATTACAGCAAACATCATACCTAGGGTAAAATGTTGAAAGCATTCTTTTTAAGATCACAAGCAAACCAAGGATGTTCACTCACCAATAGGATAATAAAAAGAAGTAGAAAGTATAAGCCTAGAAAGGAAAATATAAGGCTTATTATATGCAGATGATATGATGTCTATGAAAAAAACTAATAATATAATAATTTATAAATTATTAAAATTAACAAGAGATTTTTTAACAACTTTACTGGCTATAAAATCAATATACAAAAGTAATTTGTATTTCTGAACACCAACAATTAGAAAAATTAATTCTAAAAAGTATCATTTTACAATGGCAATAATTATATATATATACAATGATGATGAAAAAAATCTAACAAAAGTTTGTAATTCCTTCATGGAGAATAATAAGAAGCTTTAGTAAAAGAGATTGAATGAGACCTAAATAATGGCAATTATATACTCCGCTCCTGGATAGAAGACCCAATAGCATAAAGATGTCAAACAACTCTAACTGATCTATATAAATAAATATCATTCCAATATAAATAAAATATTTAAAAAGTAACAACATCAGATGGAAAAGATAGAAAGCAAATGGCAAGATGGGGAATTTAAACCTCACCATGTCAATGACCAGGAGCTCTTGGGCGGTACAAATAGTTAAGACTGACTACTGGCTGAAATGTTGGTGGTTCAAACACATGCACAGGCACCTCGGAAGACAGATCTGACCATCTGCTTCTGAAAAGTCATAATCTTGAAAACCCCGAGCAGTTCTATTCTGCACACATGGAGTCTCCATGAGTCAAAATTGCTGACTCAACAGCAATAATAACAAATATTAATAATTGCATTAAATGTAAATGGTCCAAGTACCTCAAGGAAAAGGCAGAAAATGTCAGATTGCATTTAAAAGCTGCTTATTAAAAAAAAAAAAAAAAAAACACCTCACTTTAAATATAAAGACACATAGATTAAAAGTAAAAGGATGAAAAAAAGAGATATCATGCTAACGTTAAACAAAATAAAGATTGAGTAGCTATATTAATGTCAGACAAAGTAGATTTCAGAGCAAAGATTCTAAGCAAGGAAGGGACTATCCCTTACCAGATGACTAGCTCCAGCAAGTGGTCTCCTCAGAGGCATGTGCGTCTTTGGAGTTCCACGTCCAGCTATCTCCTCTCTAGTACTTTAATTGTGAACTTGAGCTGTTGCAATCTTAATAGACTCTTAGTTTGTTGTTGTTGTTGTTATGTGCTGTCAAGTCGGCCCGACTCATAGAGATCCCTCCTTGGGTTTCCCAGGCGGTATCACTACAGAAGTAGATTGCCCAACCTTCCTTCCGAGGAGTGGCTGGTGGGTTTGAACCTCCAGCCTTCTGGTTAGCAGTCAAGTGCCTTAGACGCTAAGCTACCAGAGCTCCTTAGCTACTTCTCCTCAATTCTGGGAGTCTGCTGGTTCTGCTTGGATTCCCCATCTATAACACCGCTGCTTGAAAACTCTCCCAAAGCAATAAGCTCAAGCCATTGTAGGCCTCTCCTCATTTATTTTTTGTCTCTCAAGGATCACTTACCTTCTTTGTCTGAAGTCCGTGTCTTGAAAACTATGTTTCTTATTTTGTCTGAGTTTTGGTTGTTAGGTGGGAGGGTAAATCTGGTTGCTGTTATTGCATCTTGGATGGAAGTAGAAGTCTCAGCAGTGCTTTTTTTAAAAAAAAAAAAAAAAAAAAAACACTGCTTTTTTTCTTCCCCCCCTCAAGAATCCTCAGCGGTCACCCACACATGATAATATTGTGGGGACAGAAGAAGGCCACATATATGTGAAGACTGTAGCAGGAAGTGAGGAGCCCATGGGTGACACTTACCGTCGTCCTCGTGTAGAAATGGAGAGAAGGCGGGGATTGTGGTGGCTTATACCTAGACTGAGCCTAGAATGATGCTGTCCAGTTAAGACGTGGACCTGGAGCTGGAACAGAGCCGAAAACACAAGGATTAGTGCTTGGAGTGAAGAGGGATGCCAACCTGCTTCTTAACCAATTGAAATTTCGTTTGCAGATCTGGAAAATTCCTATGTTGATTTGTCTCTTTAGAGAATAGATCCAATAAAGTTCCTTCCAACTCTTAGATCTTTGGTTTAATAAACAGTGAAGTGCCTGGTGCGGTTACTGTGCATCCAGAAGGAGCTCTTGGGTCTTATTCTTGGCCCTAGCAGGTTTTTGCTTTCCTTTGTAATTTTGGGGAAAGGACTTGTTTCTGAGTGTCTTACCTTCTCTTCTTTCACATCCCTTTTCTCAAAAAAAGTCCTTCAGACCTGGCTTCCATGGAAGTACTGGCTGAGGCCAGCCTGGCTCAATTTGGGATATAAATGAAACTTCAGGGGGATATGTGAAGAGAATGAGTTCCTATTTTTACATATCTCAGGATAGAAATCATGTGGGACCACAGATATCCTAACCACAGGGGCAGTACATAGCTGGATTATGTCACACAGCAGTGGAAGGACCAGAAGTTCTCAAGTCATATCTGCCATGGAGCAGCTGTCTGTCTCTGGAGAATTAATGTAACCTCCCTGAGCTGCCTCATGTGGTTATTGGAAAAGTAAAATGCAATCTTGTACTTAAATATGAATCAAGGAAAGCTAGGGGCCTCCTGATTACAAGTCCCAGATTCCAAAGTCAAAAGCTTGTACAGAGATAGCACCTTTAAACTTCCAGATGTTGGGAGATCCAAGTTTCATATTAATATGACATTATTTCCTTTACATGTCTTACAACCTTTGTGCCTCAAGCTAGTTGCTAAAGATAGTTTCATTTATTTAAAAGAAGAAGAAGAAATCTGAGTAGACAAGAGCCCTCCTCCCCATGCACAGCACAACTGCACTTGCCTGCTGGGGATTCTCCAAGGAGGCTGAGTGGAATAGAAAAGAGGTCACCTGGGGCAGTGTTGGGCCCGTTACACAGGTTGGGAAAAGAATGTCCAGTTGGCCCTATTTTGTTTCTATTACTCCAGGAAAGACCAACCGTCTGGCTTTCTCTTACATCAACTCCTCCTCCCAGTTTTCCAATCTCTTTCTCTCTCTCTCTCTTTTTTCTTTCCCTCAAAGCTAATTTGATTTTCTCTGACTTTGGGAAAGCATGTGTCAGATAGCCCATCACCCACCTGGCCGCAAATGCTCTTCATTCATCACCCCCAACTCGTGTCTATGATTAGAAAATCTTAGGAAAGGCAATTCTGCAGTGGGCTCTGTGTGTGTTCACATGTGTGTGTGTGTGCGTGCGCTTATGTATTGAGGGTCAAGGGGATAGAGATAAGGCAAGGGTTGTTCCAAGAGATTATTAGGAATAAGGCTGTATCCATGGGAATGGAGAGAAAGGCCCAAATCCTTGGACTATCACAGGGAAAAAACTGATTGACAGGAAAAGAGATCAGTAGTGTTCCAAATGGTTGAACACAGGAAACCAAGGGATGTGTCAGGTAGCAAAGTGCCTACGGTCAGAGAGGAAGGCCTGTCAGTGGGATCCAGCCGGGACTTCACGTTCTCTTCCACAGAGAAGGCTTTCCAGGCTGCCTGGTCCTCAAACAAGGCCATTGCCCCTGTGCAGGCTAGGACTCCTGGGTCTAGGGAAGCTCCTGGTTCATCTGTCGGCTCCATGTTCCACACTGGGTATCCGGTGGAAACATTTCTTCTTCACGTGTTGTTGTGTGCTGTTGAGTTGATTCCTACTAATAGCGGCCTTGTAGGACTCGGTAGAACTGCCAAATGGGGTTTCCTAGGCTATAATCTTTTTTTTTTTTTAATTTTTATTGTGATTTGGGTGAAAGTTTACAGAGCAAATTCATCTTCCATACAGCAGTTCACATAATTTTGTCTCATGACATTGACCGCAGTTTCCCTCAACACAACTTTCTTCCTACATCTTCTAGTTACCTCTTCCCTGTGTCCTTCCCTCCATGCACTCCTCCCCCTGAGCTGTCTCCTTGTGCATACACAGCCTTTCTATTCTCCCATGGTTGATCCCTCCAAGGAGTCTTTCTACCTAACGTAAGTGTTCAGCTCATATGTCCTAGGCTATAATCTTAACAGGAGCAGATGCCCAGGTCTTTTCTTGCATGGAGCAGCTGGTGGGTTCAAACCACTGACTTTTCTTCTAGTAGCCCAAAACTTAACCAATGTACCACCAGGGCTTCTTTCCTTCACATAGAGGCCCTGATTCCTCAGAAATGCACCCCTTGTTCCCCAAATAACCAAGAACAGGTTCTGTAAACGTGAACATTGATATGCCAAAAAGTACTTTTTGAAACTTCTTATGACTTTCGGTTTCATGCTAAGTCGTTTCGGTCCAGTCACCTTAATGAGCACAAATGGCCATTTGTAAGCAGACATACCAGTGATCCTGGTGCGTGCACTTCTCTTACCTGTTGGAAAGGACCTTGGCTTTACTGAGAACTCAGCTGTGCCCTTGGCCTTAATACTGTAGTGTGAGTCCTTGGGCAGATTGTTGACCACTGTGAGCCTCAGTTCACATGGAAATGGAGACAGCAGGTTCCATCCTCCTACCCCACAGGGCAATTGGGAGACTGGGTTGAAATAGCTCATGTGAATAAGCCTTGTAGTCTATACAGTGTTGCTTGTATTCAGGGCTGTTTATTTAAATTCTACTAAACAAGCTGTTGTTTAGAATCCTTATTTCAAGTCAATTTTACTAAGCTAGGAAGATTCCCTATTTCTGTCATTTTTCCTTCTGTTATGATGAACAAGAACTTATTTTGGAATAAAGTAAAAGGTAAAATGACTACTTTATGAACTACAAAAAGTCTGTGTTTTTTCTTTGCCTGTATAAAGGTATACATCATTGGCTCTGATGTAGAAAGAGGTCCCAGGGATATTTCTGGCACTGGCATTTTCATGGCCCTGCTGATCGTTCTATCCTGAGATAAATTCAGTCCTGCATGAAGGGCAGCCCAGTTGCTGGAGGAAAATACTACTGCTAACCAGAAGGTTGGCAGTTCAAACCCACCAGCCACTCTGTGGAAGGAAGATGGGACAATCTACATCTGTAAAGATTTACCACCTTGGAAATCCAATGAGGGTCACTATGAGTTGGAATTGACTTGATGGCAGTGAGGAATTTTTGTTTGTTTGTTTGTTTGTTTTTGTTTTTGTTTTAGAAGTCAGAAGGGCCAGGCACCCAACCTGTTTGGGTCTCATTTCTTTACGTGTCACCTGGTAGGTAGATGGGCTTTGCTCATAGGTTATATCCACCCACTTCAAGCATTCAAGCATTCTTTAATTTCTCAAATCCTGAGAAGTAAAGCTCCCCTCCCACCTCCCTGCTCATCACACTCAAATCAGTGCAAACCCAGGGGCAGGACATACTATTCCTTAAAGAAATAGTTTGATTTCTGGAGCTGGAGGGAGGGAGATGCTTTATGACCATCACTGTGGGTCCTTCCTTGGATCTGAATAGCACTGTGGTCTACAGTGGATTTTCCATCCTACATGTCCCTGGCATATAGGGGAGAATATTTTCACAAGAAACAAGTCCAAAAACTGTGTCCAGTGTTTTAGCTTTCCCTGCCAGGGGCAGGAGGCAGACAGAGATGCAGTTATGGTCACCTTTCTCATCCTACTTTCTTGTTGCAAAAAGAAAATAAGGGGTGAAAGATATTCTTAGCATTCTAGGAGGGATTTGTAAAAGGTATTTATTAGACACTTGCCCTTTGCCAACAAACAGTTTCCTGGGGCAATACTGGAAAATACCTTAAAGGGATACTTGCCCTTGGCCAAACCACAAATGAATGAATAAATGAATGAGTGAAAAAATAGAAGATTGATAGATAAGTAAATACAATTAGTGCTTTACAAGTGATTGATTTTCTAGGAAGATAATATTAGTGGCCCTGGAGATTGTAAAGCAAATTGTTTCAAGGGATGGTTTAAATTTGCAAGAAACAAAGAGTTAAAAATAATGAGTTTAATTGATAACTGGGGAAAGTATATGTGTTGTTATGGGGGGAGTATTCTTTGATATATATGGGAGTGGGAAGAATTTGAAATGCTTAGTGTCCTATGAATTGGTTGATTAAAAAAAAAAAATGCATCCAGAGAAATAAGAGTGAGTCCGCTGTGGCTCCCATCTGCCTCTGAGGGATAAAGGTCAGTGAGTCTCCGCAGTCTCAGGACTCATTTGCACCGCCCTTTGCCTCCCGTTGCTTGTGACTGGGTGCCCGGAGAACTTTGGCTGGTGTAGCTGGTCCTGGCCAAGTTCAGACAAACTTGGATCTTGGTGTCGAAGAGCCAGGACACTGGTTCTACTCCTTACCACCTCCTGTTCCAGTTTTAGGGGCTTGGGACTTACTGGTGGAGAAATCTCACAAGTCAAATACTGACAGTGTGCTTCAATGTCCTTTTTCCAGGGTGGTTATTAATATGTTCCTTGATCCTCCCAATCCAAAAGATCCCAAATCAAGCACTTGATTGCCTCGTCTAATCCTCCAGCAGACATAGAAGGAGGAAATATATCATCTTTCTTTTTCATTGTAGTGAAATTAAAAAAAAAAAAACAACACCAAACTCACTGCCATTGAGGTAGATTCTGACTCATAGCGACCCCCTTTGGGTTTCCGAGGCTGTAAATCTTTACAGAAGTAGATTGCTCCTGTGGAGTGGCTGGTGGGTTTGAATCTCCAACCTTCTAGTTAGCAGTCAAATGCCTTAGGCATTATGCCACCAGAGCTCCTTATGTAACATAAAATTTGCCATTCTAAGTGTACAATTCGAGTGGCATTAATTATATTCACAATGTTGTGCAACTATCACCACTTTTTTCCAAAACTTCTTGATCACCCTAAGCAGAAGCCCTCCCCATTTTTCTCTGCCCCCAGCCCATGGTAACCACTCATCTATTTCCTGTCTCTATGAATTTGCCTATTCTAG